TGGTAGTGTAGCTTTTTGTCTGTTTGGTGTTGCATCTACGCGTGCAGTACGCCCGCGTAGGCGGTGGTAGAGTGTTGGATGTGGCACATTATATGCCTGTGCAGCAGCCTGTATGCTTTTAAATTGACCATCATTGAAAGCTTTAATTGCAAGCAAGATACGGCCCTCTTGATGAACTGCTGAATCTGCTGTTTTGCGTGGCATTTTGGTGGTTGAAGTTGATGAGCGCGTCGCGTAGTTTGGTGGGGTGTTTCGCTCGGTGATCTGTTTCGCTCGATGATTGATTACGTTATACATAGTAATTAGTAATAGCCTTGGTGCCTGCTGCACCATCTTCTAGGAATCCAGGCTTCCTTCCCAATCTAACTGATATCAAACGCGTTGTTGTCCTTGTCGTCATCATCCCCGCCTCCACCGCTTTGTTCCGTCTTTATCTCCAGTTCTTCCGTTTTGAGGTCGTCATCGTCGATGACAATGTAATCGATATTTTATTTATCGAAGATGCCAGTCTGCGTCTAATTTTTTGGTGTCGCTATCCTGGTCGCGTGTTGTTGTAACGGGGACCATAAATTCGTGTCCGGTCCACATTCACAAGAAGCGATGTCCGATCTTTTCTATCCCTCTCAAATTTCCTTGCCATCGGCTGTGGTATCTGGCGAAGACTCAGTTGCAGGTTCTGCATAGATACAACATTTCTTGTTCTGTCTTGTTACTTCAAAGTCTTCAGGCGCAGTTCGAACCAGAATAAGATAATATGTGCTCTTCTACCATTAGCATCTGCTGCAGCAACACGTTATTGATGATGAACTTACCGATTGTGACTGAATGTGAGACAAAATGCCTGCTTGATCTAAGCAAAGTGTGTAGACTCGGCCATTTTCTCTAATTATAATGGCCAAAAACACGTCTGCAGCACATAGAACACTATACTCATATGCTTTCTTCATTAAACGTTCTTGCGGCGGTCCCGCTTCTGTTGGATTTTCGTCCGTTCTGATTGCATACGCCCAGTTTGTCTTGAGAGATGATCTTGTAGGCATAGCGACTGGCAACTTGGCAGGCAGATTTGGATAGAGAAAAAAAAGTGCCGATTGATTGTGCCAAAAAGCTCACTGTTGAGCTTTATATACCCACAATGGAGGCTACTTTGGGACTCGGATAGCCCATTGGAGCATGTCGGATTGGCTCCACAAAGCAGCAGAGACCGACAGCATGTGCAAAAGCGCAAGTAATTTCACCCGTCTTCCTAAATCGCATACCTTAGTAGGAAGATTCGGGACGATTTGAGGGATTTCGGTCTAAGCGCTAGGCGTTGGAGCGCTGCTACTCCAGTTAGGGTGGTATTCTGGTGACAGAGTATACCTGAGGAAGATGAGGTTCACCGAGGATTGAGAAACAAAGATTTTATCAGAGAATACCATCACTCAGATGACATTTTCGACAAGAGCTCCGTTCCGTGTAAATCTAACTGCCTGCGCGCTGAGCAGGCATGTGTGTGTGGCCATGAGTTTCGACAAACACACTGAGGCTTGTGGGTTCTGACAGCCCCCATGCTGCAAAGGCACGTGTGTTGCTAGATTCAGATCTTTCCAGTATTCAAAGCATCGATATCACTGGCTACCCTATACCTTCATTTGAGTTACACTTTCTGTGTCATGGCAGCCATATCACAAACTGTAGACCTTGATGTTGCTCAACTATGCAGGGACTTCCTCAAATCAAAATGAGATGGGAAGAAACAAAAAAGAATAGAGATAAACTGAAAGAACCTGTGTTGTTAAACGGTAGACA